AAATCAATAACAAAATCCTGTGACTGCTCACAGCCTTGGCACAGGTGGCTGTGATTGGTCACTAATTGAAAACAATCCACATGGACCAATGAAAGATGCACCTGTTGCATTCCACAGCAGCAGATAGTTATTGTTTACATTTCTTTCCTGAGGCTCTCAGCTTCTCAGGACAGAAAAAATCCTAGCAGAGGATTTTTCACTAAAATATCATAGCTACATGTCTTCTCTGTATCCTCTGTTATGAGTGTCCCCTCTCCACGTAGTAATGGGCTCACATTTTCCTTAGTTTTCCTTTTGTTACTGTTGTATTTTAAAAAGCCTTTCTTGTTGCCCTTGACATCCTTGGCCAGATTTGATTCCAGGTGGAACTTAGGCTTCATTTCATGTGTACTTACTCTGACAACCTCTCTACATTACTTCCAAGTGGTCTGACTGCTTCCATCTCCTCTGCATTTCCTGCTTACACTTGAGTAAGTGTACTGACAAGAGTTCCTTTTTATCCATGCAAGTCTCCTGCCCCATTTGCTCAATTCCTTGCTCACCAGGGTGGTTTGTTCTTGAGTCTGGAGAAAGCGATCCTTCAATATTAACCAACTCTCTGGAACCCTTCCTCCCTGAAAGGCCTGTTCCCATGGGATTCTTCCAAGAAGATCCCCTGAAGAGGCTAAAGGTAGTTCTTTAGCCCTGAAGAGGCTGAAGGTTACAATTTACTTGCTGCCCTCTTCTCCTTGTTCAATACTGAACTTCACAATCTCATGGTCACTGCAGCCAAAGCTGCCCCCAGCCTCCACATCTCCAACAAGGCCCTCCCTGTTTTTTTAGTGTAAGGTCAAGGAGCACACCATTCCTTATGAAAACCTCCACTATCCATGTCAGGGAGTTGCCATCAATGCTTTCCAGGTTCCTCCCATCCTGTTTGTGCTTCATGGTGCTGCTTCTGCAGCCATGCCAGGGTGGTTGAAGTCCCCCACAAGAACCAGAGCCTGTGGCTGTGGGGCTGCTCTGAGCTGCCTGTACAAGGCCTCGTCCACTCCCTCCTCCCGACCAGGAGCCTGTAGCAACCACTCTCAACAGTGCCACTCTTGCTACTCTGCCCTTATACCCTAACTCATAAGCACTCAATTTGCTCATTCATGCACACCAAGACATTCCCCACCCCTGCTACATTCCCTGTTACAAGTGCTGCCTCACAGAGAGGGCAACTCCACCACTGTGATTCTGATGCACCCCTACATTTACATACATCCTTTATCCTTGAAATCTGAACACCCCAAATGTTACACCAAGTCATGAAGACTTGCTTAGAACACTAGAATTTGCCAAGTCTGAAAATCTTGATGGAACAATTGCATGTTTAGCACACAAATATAAATTATATAAATATTTATAAATAGTTATATAGACAATTATTCTCATAAGTGTAATATTATATTAAAAAACACTGCAAAATATTACTTCCCTAATTAGTTCCACATCCAGAAAGATTTTTAGAGATACTTAAAAGCAGCTTGCTTGCAGCAAAAAAAAAAATGAATACCAAAAAAAAGCAGCTGATTTTACATTATTTTGTCTATATACACCTTGAATTTCAAAAACCATGTTTTTCTCTCATTACTCTCTCATCAAGTCTAAGATTGCAATAAGTGAAATGGACTGAACTATCATTAAATTACGGTAAGGCAGGTATAAAATTTCTCATCAAAGGTGAAGCTTTCTCAATGTTTAAAAGTAGCACTTAAATGAATGGCAGATGACAAAATATGAAACAGGAATAGACCTAGATGATGGTAGTAAAAGGCATTTTATAGTAAGACTCTTTTATGCTTGGGTACAATCTCTGTTGCTGAAAGTCCAACTCATCACAGCAGCTTTAGTGATCACTGATGTCTTTGCCAGTCCTCAGTGCAGCATTCAGAAGTACACCAGACTAGGAGAGCTAAATATGCACAGCTTCAAATCCTGTCCTGTGTTCCTCAGGATTAATCTGTCAGTAAAAGGAGTGCTGGAAGTAAATGCATCCCACAAATGCTGTCCCATGTAAGTTGCTGAAGAAAAAGTATTACTGCAAGTAGAAACAGAACTATCCTTTTCAATAATTTTCATTCAAATATCCCACCTAAGAGGAAAAGTCATTCTACACCCAGTTTTTTCCTCCTCCCATGCATTTGAGGTGAGTACAAAAAGAATGCAAAAGCTATTTCTATTTTTGTCGAAAATGAACTAATTTGATGAATGGCCATGTGTAAAATAAAGATTAACTAGGAGTACCTGAGAATGAAAAAGTACAGAGAAAGGAGAATAAATCAGTAAGACAATGTGATCATTTATGACTGCTATAGCATTGACTTTCAGGTTAAATTTTTCTATTAATATTTTGAATCATACAGAACAGGGATGAAAACTATTCTCTTTAACCACATGAAATATAAAGCATTTATCTCTGGAATTTCTGTCATGTAACTGTAATTGTAAAACTTACCAAACTCAGCACTAAAAAACTACCAGCTATTTCAGTCTGATTTCAAATTCTGCTCTTGAGCTCCTACATACTAGAAATTTATATATGTTTAAAAAATATTTATCTTCACGTTAAACTCAATTTGCATTCATATTAAATGCTAATTGTCCAGAAGTTTTTATTTGGTTCAAAGTATAATGCAGAAAAAGTGAATATGGCCATGAAAACAGTCTAATTCATTTTTCTCATTAGAGTTTGACAACAGAATCCTGTGAAGACTGCAGATAACACTTTCAGAAAGCGACCTTGGGGAGACGTTGTAAGGGACACAGAAAAAAATAGATCAGACCCTTAAATTTTAGTTTTCCGAGGGTTCAGTGAGAAAATTTAGGGAAAATAAGGACAATGTTAACAATGTTTCCTAGGAAAGGGCATGAGCTTGGCATGACTGCCTACCTTTATTTCTCAATAGTATGAGGTAGGAGAAATCTCTTCTGAATGGGTATCATACCTAGAGTCACGTAATACTTTGTAACTCTTACCTAAATTATCGCCTGAAATATACTTGAAATTCACTTACTTTTACACATTAACACCACCTCTACAACCAAGATAAACTGTCTCTCTTGCCACAGTCCTGGGAATCACTTCTTTCTAGGCTCTGCCCATTATTGTGACCACTACTGGCGATGAACCACAACCAAGAAACTTGGATTCATTTTATATGCAGTGGATGTATATCCCAGCTATGCCTCCTCTGCAAGATCTATTACTTTCCAGAATTTATTTCAAAATTCTATTGCTTAAATATTATCAAATCTTGTATCCCTGCCCTGTCTTTCATCAGGAAATACTATTTAGGGTACCCATAAAATGTAGGAGTAAAAGGCATCAAAATCAGCCCAAATCTTGATACTAAAAGGAAGAGGCAGACTTGGGTTGTTCAGGGCAGGTTTTTGTACTGCTTTAGGTTGGAGATTGAGAATGTTGGGTGGGGGTGTCCTGCTGTATTTTGGGTCTTGGTCAATACATATGCAGATTTGATACAGTATTTTCTCAGATGTACGTAGCTTGTGTTAACTCATTCAAGAAGTAACCTAGGACTATGTAGGATAGAATTTTGATTATTCTTCTATGAGATTCATACACAGGCATTTAAACACCAAGTCCATAGCAATCATGCATAATTATATGCACAGACACTATATACTGAAGTCTCATTATATTTTACCATGACTCTTGCAACTAGTTTGCATACAACTTATCAGCATTACCAGCAATGCCTGGTAAAAAAAAAATACAACTGTGTTTTTTCATGCTTCTCAGTGAAGCAGAAAGTATATGCAAAGCTGATGAATGAGGTTTATACTTATCTCAGCAAACCAACCTCAAGTGGACATGCCTGTCACCAATCAACCTTTTAAAACATTTTAAAGACGAAGTCATGTTCCACAGAATTCCATGGACAAGTACTTAATGTTTTGAATTGCTAAAAGCTATTTCAAATTATTCTATGTGTGATACTAAACAATTTATATAAATATGTACTGCAGCAGGAATTAAATAGTTACATATTCTAGAGGCAGACTCTAACATACTCAGATACACACCCACAAATACTCATTATATGCTTTTTTGCTTCTAATTCTTAGCAGACTATCGCAAACCCATTTGATGTCCCCAAGTGCCAGATTTTAAGTTTACAGGATGCAATATAGCAAGCAGACAGAAATACTCTCCCTTGGCCCACTCTGAAGAGGCTGCCATGAATTGTGCACTCTAAGAAACACTAGCAAAGTTCATGAAATTGATTTTATTCAGTTAAATTAAGTACATGTATTCCAAATTCAAGAAGACTGTTTATATGCGGAAATGAAATACATTACTTAGGGATGTTGATAATTTAGACACCCTTGCTGTACTGCTTATGCAAAACATCACCAGTTTATCTAATGACATTACCAAATGGTCACACAGAAGGTTCCTCTATAGCTTAGAGGCACCACAGGCTTTGCAAATGCAGCATAACTGAATCTTGGTTAAAAAAAGCACCCCACACGTGCTGGCGCTGATTAAGCTCCATCTGTGCCTGAAAGAGAATTACAGTGAAATAAGTGCCCATCAAGTGTTCTCTCAGTCAGCTCAATGCCCTTGAACAGACATCCTATCTGATACACAAATGAAGAAAACTTTGGTATATCAGTTTACTCTTCAAATGCTTTCACTGGGGAACACTTTTTCCTTTTTTCTCTTAATTTAATGGCCTAGCAATATTTGGTGGAAGAATGCCTTAATTTTGGTATTTATAGACATTTTTTGCTTCTATTAAGATTATAAATGCCATAATAAAGTATGTATAGCACTGGTCAGAAATGTAGTTTTTATACTTATGAATGTAGGTACTCACAGAAGACCCAACAACTGATAATTACTTGTATTTCTGTTACCCAATAAAATCTATTGTACTCCAATACAATAAGGTGTCCTCTTCAGAAGACATTAAAGTGCACAGCCAAAAGCACAGAGATATAGAAGCACTTACATTTGCACTGTGATCACTTCCACTAACACAGACGACATCTTGTTTTTGAATTGTTAATACCTCTTTTGTAAGCTTCAGTCGGATGTCATAAGCATTTTCAGATACTTCATCATACAACAATGCAATACCAGTTTTAGTCTGCAAAAAAGAAAAGCATACACAAAAATTTAAGAACATGAACATTTCATAATGGTGAATAACAAGCTCTATGCCATTCAATAAATAAAAAACATACAAATGAGCCTTATTTACAGAAAGCGGAAAACTGGTCTGCTTTTCAGTCTTCAAATGGATTAGACTTAAAAAGCCTCTTTTGTACTGGAAAATACAGGATAAGTGGTCTTTGAAGTAGACATTAATATGCAAACAGCAAAAAAAAAATTACAAAATTTTCTCCATTGTATTGTTACATAAAGAAGTGTTGCCAATTAATGATGTCCTGTTTGCCTTTATTTATACAAAGACTTATAAAAATGTATTAGAAACAGATAGGTATGTATAAATGAAAGTGAACATATTTTCCATTTTTGGTAAGAGGTGGGGAAGTGAAATATTGTTCCTGTCTTGAGGATGTTCATTCCAATCTGTCAGAAAAAGAACTGTACCTCTCATAAAAGCTGTCATTAAGATACAGAGTTCTGTTACAGTAGAAAACTACATTTTCACATTGTAAAATGTAATCAAACCCAGTTGTAACAGAATTTATTTTGCTTAGGATAAGATGAACATACATTTCTTAAGTTATATTATCACTGGACTAATAACTAGTTAACTCCATAGGACAGCCAACTATTTGGTATAACCAACGTTTTCTCCATTAGAAGTAGAAAAAAACCTTTATTTTAATTTCTGGCTTATTCCCTTAAATTTCCCGCTATTCAGTCAGATATTTCCTTTTCCAAACAAAAATAGTGGTATTAGGACTGATTACAGGTATTTGTTAAAATATGCAGACAACTGAAATTTCAGATCTTTACATTCACTGCACAGAAGATAAAAACACCTGTTCTGAGTGGTCATATTTAAAAGTACTATTTGCTTGTTAATTTATAATGCACATTACAGCACCATCACAGCACTGCACTTTATGTAAGTGAGTAAAAATCAAACATGATTTAAGTTATAGCTTCAGTATTTGTTTTTAAATGAAGATTTAAAATCAACTTGTTCATCTATGTTTTCTTAAATGGTAGACTGTATAAAAAACAGAGTAATGGAATTAAAGGAGAAATGTGTCCTGTGTACTGAATGAAAGCTTAAGGGATTTAAAAATAAAATTAAACATGAAAAATTAGCTTCATAATATTTCCATTTCTATAAAATTAGGGAGAAAGGTCTGTGGTGATTTTCAATAAAACCTTTCGGTCTTTAAAAACTGGATCAGGTTAAGCTTCAAGCATTTAAAATTGGTGTAGCTCTATGCTGCAACCGAGTGTCAAAACCTCCCTTATATTAGAAGTAGAAAATGCAGTCTAGACAGCAATTAAATTTATTCTGAATTATATACAAAGCAGTTGCTCAGGTGAATTGTTCATGTAGTTGGGCTGTTCCTGGGGTCAAATCAATTGTCCCCATGCAGGTCACTTCTGCCTTTTAAGACACTGAGATATCCTAAGACCCCTGAGCATGTGAAGCTGTCACAGGCTTTTTAGGATATCCAGATCCTTTGCTAGCTGGAGGCAGATTTCCATGTTTATAATGAGATACAAACATTGGTCATGTCAGCAGACATCCACATGTAGATATCTTCAGCCTGTAATGGATGTCACAAAAGGGTTACAGTGCCGAAATCACAGACCAGCTTGGGCTGGGAGGGTCTTTAAAATCATCTACTTCCAACACCTTACAAGAACACCTTCCACTAAACCAGGTTGCTCAAAGCGCAAGATCCAGCCTGACCTTGAGCACTTCCAGGAATGGGACATCCACAGCTTCTCTGAGCAACCTGTTCAAGTGCCTCACTACCCTCACAGTAAAGAATTTATTCCTAATATGTAACTTAAACCTATGGTTTTTCAGTTTAAAGCTATTCTGCCCTGTCCCATTACTACATACCCTGTGTGAATGTAGTGTGGGAAGACAAATCTATTCAGTGTTTGCTGGGTATGTCTAAGGGAAAGAAAGTTCAGTCACAGTATAAAGCCTTAATCATTCTCACTTGTTTGGAATCCAACATTTCTTTATTTTTCCAAGACTTTGAGTCTTTTCACTTTTTCAGCATGTGTGAATTTCTTATCAATACATTTTTGTGAATGACAACCATAAAAACTACACCAGTACCATCTGCCTAAAAGCCATGCTGCCAGCAGGAAGTATTTCCAAACAGAGAACTACAGACTTGAAAACCCACTGTCCCTGATTTTTGCTGTTGTTCAGATGTTGAGCATCACTGTCCCACCTGGACTGGTGACTGTTACATTTGCTGTGTATCAGAGCATGCTTTACAGAAACACTCCAGAGCTCTGGAGCACTCTTTATACAGCTTACACCCAGCACAATTTTTGCTAGAAATTGTTATATATGTTTAGAAGAATCCCCATGAAAAAAATCTGAACTTTAGTTTGTAACAGATGATCGGGTAACAAATGAAATATGCAGAGTGACTTGTTAAATAGTTTAGCATTTGCTATCACACTATTTCAACCAAAGTCCCACTGAAACTCATCTATTACTATTAAAATCCAATAGCTACACTACACTTCATCTAACTGCTGATGTGATCCAAGATGACGCCCAGCAATAGCTTTTTGCTTTCAGAATCAATAAGATTAATCTGGATTTCTCTCAGCCTTTAAAGTCAGCTTTTTTTGACCATTATAAATAGCTTTGAATCAAAGTTCAGCACATTCCCTTTTTCTGTCTTTGTATTAAAGTGATGGCATACATAATGCTACCGGGCGAATCCCAGTCCAGACAAAGGTGTCTTCAAATAAGAAACTTTAAATGAGAGCTAAGTCTTTGCATGTATATGTATATTTTGCATTTTAACTAGCTATATTCTTCTTGATTTCTCATTTAAAAACTGTCTATATAGTGGCCATTCTAAATAACTGATATAAAAAACTGAGGACTGAAAAGTCAAAATAACTCTCCAAAATTATATAGTATTGTTAGAGCTCATACATTTTGTAATAAAAAGCACACAGTAAGTTCATAGGGAGTTACATCTCAATAGGATTTCAGTATTTATATTGAGAGGTAGGGGAATAAAAATTTTAAATCACCTGGGCAGAAGAAGAAATCAAACGTTGATTTTCATATCTCAGTTTTCTAGACACTGACTTCAGGAAGAGGAGTGTGTGGGTGGTCATGTGCATGTTCACCATGTGGTGGGAGGAAAAGAAGATCAGTAGTACAAGCATCACAGTAGCTGTACCTGTGATTTTTAAGAGAGCATAGACACTGCTCTGTTTTTGAAAAAAAGAAAAAACACTGAAACTTACTTTCTCGAACCAGCTCAAAAACTGCCAATACCACAGAAAACATTCCTCTCTAGAGGAAGCCAGAATGGCAGATGAATCTTTTTATCAGTTTTATTGTTGACTACTTAAGCAGGTCCTTAGCCAGTGTATTTGCCTTAAAGTACTCCCTGTTCAGCCTAATGTTTTGGACCCTGCTCAAAGTAACATGACTCTTTCAATGTGCCATATCTGCAGTTTAAAGCTCACAGCTGTAAATTATGTTTCCCGATAGGCATCTCTACAACAAACTTCAGTTTTACTGGCAAAAAATACTTGCCTTCACTGCTGTTTTATTTTGAAATAGCTTACAAAAAATTCCTCTGCATTGAGTTACTTTTGTTCTCCAGCAGAAAACACCATTTGCTGCTCCTTAATAAATACATCCATAGCTTCAAGGGCACTGCAGTTCAATTTTATCTGCTAAAATTCATTCATAAGTGACCTTTTTTATTTGTAAATAAAATTATTTAAGCACTATATTTGAACATTTTCTTCCCATTGAAATGCCACATTATATTTCCAAACTAATATTTTACCAGCAACATTTATACCTCATAGGTCTAGTGATAAAATTCTCTAATCCAATTTCATTTTTTTAAAAGAAATTAACTCTGTGGTATACTCATAGTTGGAAAACTTGCTGAAGACACATAGGAGCTGGAGTCACTGATTTTTATCCTACATAATTTAAGACTAGGAAGAAATAGAACTTCAGGCAGTCCCATATAGTGCCCTGAGCACTAAATTACAGCAGGCTCAAATCTACTTTCTCTCTCACAACTGGTTTGATATTTTCTACAGCACATTTCCTATAATGATCAAAAGAGAAAGATACTTTCTCAGAGAAATTAAAATTTAAAATATCCTTGACTAACAAAAAATATTTAAAATGGGATAAAATATAAAAGCAAAAGAAGTGCAAGGTGTTGCACTACAGGAAAAACAGTCATCTATATGGAAGAAGAAAAGCTCTTCATCACCATGTCCTAAAGAATGGAAACAGGTATGTAGGACTGAGAATCAGCAGAACAATATGGGCATCAATATTTTGTTGTTGCAATAAAGGCAAACACATGCTTTGTTCATGTCCTTTCCAACTGATTTGATGTTTTTTTCCTCAATCATAAAAGACAGAACTTAAAAGTACAAATAAAAGTAAAGTTCTTTAGTTGGGTACTAGAGAAGGTTCCTTAAACTCTGCTGAATGTGAGGTAACAATATTTCATGCACTTGAGGTAATCCATCACCTGTATTGCATTTAATACATGTTAGTATATTGTTTCCTTTGATACAGTATTATATCAGCCTTATTTCATGGCTACACTACATCAAAGAGGTAATGAGCTGAAAAGGGTCATGAGAGAAACAAAAAAATTAAAGGTGGTTAGAGATCTGTAAAATAAGATGTTTAAGTAATTCAGGACAAATTCAGGTCAATTAGTTTCAAGACCGCATACACGAGAACATAGCAACAGTTTTAAGTACTTCATACTATTACAAATAGAGAAATCGGGAAATAAAAATAATTCAAAAATCTCTTCCTTTGAATATATTCTGTTTATGAGGAAATGGAAGTCCTTGAACAGATTGCTTGCATGAATTATGGACAACCATAGCTAATGGATTCTGAGAGAAAACTGAACAAACATCTGCCCAAATGGTAGCAGTAATCCTCTC